AAAGAAAGAGAAGGAAAGAAGGAAGGAACCAGGGGATACAAAGAGAGAAGGAAAGAGGGAAAGAAAGAGAAGGAAAGGAGGGGGGAAAGAAGGGAAAAAGGAGGAAAAAAGAAAGAAAAAGAAGGAGAGAAATATAAGGAAAGGAGAGAAAGAGGGAAAGAAAGAGGGAGAGAAGGAGCAGGGGGTGGGGCTTGTTGCATGTGCCCGCCCCCTGGGCTCTTTACTGCCGGAGCTCCGCTTCTGTGCGCTCCTGCAGGAAATGACCCCTGTTGATAGGTGATGCTGAATATTGATCAATAGTCAATCCATGCAGGAGGATCAATTTGACCTGTTTGGCTGGTGAAGCACCTGGGGTTTCTTGGAGTAGCTCCCTTCTGCAAAGTGGCTGGCAGTGATTGCTGAGAGTGTTGAGAAGAAAAGGCTAGATGGCCATTGTGCTCAGAATTGGTTTTGCAGTTGTGGTTGCAAAAAAATTGGAAGCGAGAGCTTCTTGCTTCTGTATGCTCCTGCACATTTCTAAGTAAGCATATTGTTCCATGGAGCTCTTTCCTTGATTTTCCTACTGCTCGGGAAAGGGAGACAGCAAAACCAAACTGGCCCTAAACACTTCAGAAAGTACAGCATGTGTCGGTGGTGCCATCTGCTGGAAAGGAGGTTGTCACAGTGACTGGGTCTAGGATTTCTGACTTGTGTTGGGAAATTGCTGGCGATTTGGGGGTGGAGCTTGGGGAGGGTGGGATTTGGAGAGGGGAAGGATCTGGTTTAATGCCATAGAGTCCACCCTCCCAGACAGGTACTGCAAGCCCCCTGGAGCCCTTTGGGTGGAGAGAAAGGATAATAAGTAAAATAAATCAGCCATGCAGGGGTCATTTCCTGTGGGAGCGCACAGGAGCGGAGCTCTGGCAGTAAGGAGCCCAGGAGGTGGGCACATGCAACAAACCCCGCCCCCTGCTCCTAGCAGCCCTCAATCGGGCCACGAGGAGCAAGAAGCAGCCAGGTAAGTTGCAGAGCCCCCCCCCAGCCCGCCTTCAGGTACAAGCTCTCCGTCCTCTGTGAGGGCAGATCTGTGCATTCCCCCCCCAATAGCTAGCAATCCAAAACAGTCCAGTGGCACCTTTAAGACCAAGTTTTATTCAG